TCGGTATTGATATCCTACAGCACTATGAATTGCTAGTCGATTCACGTAGTCTGCAGCTAATTGATACTTCGTCGAACAGTAAATTCATGGGCTTCAGAGCTCACACAAACGCGTACCGAATCCTAGGCACCTTTTATTCGCGTGACAATAAATTTCACGCTTTATTCGAGAAATTCCCCGAATTAACTAAACCACTCCAGGGGATTTCATCGGTGACCAATCGTGTGGTACCCCACATAGTCACCCGCCGACCACAAGTCACGGCGAGACCTCACCTACTGGCATCGGACAAGTAATCTTTCGCTAAACGTGAGTTTGACAATTCACTAGCTACTGGTATTATTCATCCTTCTCACAGTTCCTGGGCCTCACCTCTTTACATGGCGCGCAAAAAGAATGGGGTTAGTTGGATACCATGCGGCAACTAACGAGCATTAAATGTAGCTACACGCTTCGATAGCCATCCCATCTCCCACATACACGACATCACCGAATCACTCAAGGACACGACTGTTTTTCCGAAGATTGGTTTGGGTAACTTCTACCAGCGTTCTATCCCACACGCGGCAGAACAGTCACGACCATTAATCGACTTACTTCACGGTAATCCACGCAAATTAGAATTGAACGATACCGCGAATACTGCATTCCCAGGGTTCAAAACGGATCTAGCTCAAGTTAAACTCTTCGCACATTCTGACCCACCAGCCATGCTTAGTATAGCGGTTGATGCAGCGGATTTCGCCGTAGGAGCCATTATTCAACAGAACGTTTCCGGTAGTTGGCAACCTCTTGAATTTTTCTCACGACGCCTTACTCCCACGGAGACGAGATATAGCGCTTATAGTCGAGAGCTGCTAGCAGCCTACTGTGCCATCAAACATTTCCGGCACTCTGTAGAAAGTCGCAATTTCATCTTATTCACCGACCATAAGCCTTTAACGTACGCTCTGCATACCAAGTCTGACCGTTACTCACCTCGAGAATGCAGACATTTGGACCATATCTCTCAGTTCACGACAGACCTTCGTCACATTAAAGGCGAGTCGAACTACGTTGCTGATGCTCTGTCACGTATTTAAGTGAATGTAGTCACTTCACCGATGCTCGATCTTACTGCCGTGGCTGCAGCCCAAGCAAACGATCCCTCCTGCGCAGAAGCACAACATCCTACATCCTTTCAATGCCTTAAAGTACCCCTAGCTACCAGCTCAGCTACTATCCCGTGTGGTATATCTACTGGTCTCCCCTCACCCATCGTAACCTCTGCTTACCGTCGTCCCGTCTTCGATGCCCTACGCGGATTGTCTCATCCAGGTATCGCAGCCACATTACACCTCATCGCTGCACGATAGGAATGGCCTTTGGCTCGTAATGCGGCGGGTCTTGAATTGAGACTTCAGTTCGGCAAACAAAACTTCCGGGTCGTAGGGAATAAAAGATACAGGTCGAAAATGTATAACATGTACGTCTGAGTGGATTACATTAATCCTAATTTTATCGTTATCCGTCATGTCGAGTTATTACCAGTATATTATATTTTGAAAAATATTATTATGAAAATATGCGACAGACATGGATAGATAAACGATAGACTAACCGTAATTGGCATCTTTGCAAAGTTTGGTCTCGATTACCAAGTGTTCGTAATTTCAGGTTCACCAATTGTAGTGTGGCGTCAAGTCGAGGTTGACTGTTTCTCCTAAGTTTTGGTGAAGCATGAGCCTTGTTTTTCCCCTGATAATGACCTTTTCTATGTAGTACGTTTTGTTAGCAACTGATTTATCACTTGTTTCAGTAAAAGGCTATTTGAATCACCTTTGAACAGTAAGGTTGTGTAGACAGGCTGTTTTGTGCCAAGGCTGTAGTGGGCCTCACTATACTATCACCTTCCTATCTAATAATTTCAGTAGCTAGTGAATTGTCAAACTCACGTTTAGCGAAAGCTAACTTGTCCGGTGCCAGTCGGCGTAGTCTTGCCAGGACTGGCGTTACTGCCGCTTCTTCTCTCCGACTCGAAATTTTCTGCCTTTTATGAGCACAGGGCTCGACAACGGCAGGCGCCGGACCCGAAGGCACAGTGTTGAACCAGCACCAGTACACACTCGCTTCCGAAGCCGCCTTTTTTGCGTGGCTTGGAAGATGCCTTCGTTGGGCGAGTGGTTACGGCTTTTCGAGAGCGTGACCTAGCTCTAAAGACGTAGGATTTGTGTTTGTCGGAACGATCTCGGAAGCTGAGACGTGCATGAGTACGACCGTCTGTATATTCTTGAGCCTGGGATTGACTAGCGCCGATGTCCACGATCGAACGTGACGTTGAGGCAACTATGTAGTTGCTGATATTTTGTCTGCTATGAGGGCCACCTGATTGAGTGGTGTGTCCTCGATCAGTGCCGTGGCTGTTGGTTGGATATGTGTTGGTAGAGATTCGAGCCACAGTTGCTTAACACTTTTAAAATCCGCTGCCGTAGGTCCCGCGAGAGATTGCAGGCGCGTGAGGTGGTGGCTCGTCTTAACATCACTCAGGGGGGTGACGTGCTAATAACGTCCTCAATCGTCCCTCCCTCGATGAGGATGGCCTCCTTGAGACGATCGTAAACGTTTGGCACGTTGGAGTCGAGGACTACCTCACGGACAGCTACTATATTATCCCCGGGTAAAGATTCCAGAGCGTAGGAGTATTTGTGCCTCTGGCTCGTAATGCGGCGGGTCTTGAATTGAGACTTCAGTTCGGCAAACAAAACTTCCGAGTCGTAGGGAATAAAAGATACAGGTCGAAAATGTATAACATGTACGTCTGAGTGGATTACATTAATCCTAATTTTATCGTTATCCGTCATGTCGAGTTATTACCAGTATATTATATTTTGAAAAATATTATTATGAAAATATGCGACAGACATGGATAGATAAACGATAGACTAACCGTAATTGGCATCTTTGCAAAGTTTGGTCTCGATTACCAAGTGTTCGTAATTTCAGGTTCACCAATTGTAGTGTGGCGTCAAGTCGAGGTTGACTGTTTCTCCTAAGTTTTGGTGAAGCATGAGCCTTGTTTTTCCCCTGATAATGACCTTTTCTATGTAGTACGTTTTGTTAGCAACTGATTTATCACTTGTTTCAGTAAAAGGCTATTTGAATCACCTTTGAACAGTAAGGTTGTGTAGACAGGCTGTTTTGTGCCAAGGCTGTAGTGGGCCTCACTATACTATCACCTTCCTATCTAATAATTTCAGTAGCTAGTGAATTGTCAAACTCACGTTTAGCGAAAGCTAACTTGTCCGGTGCCAGTCGGCGTAGTCTTGCCAGGACTGGCGTTACTGCCGCTTCTTCTCTCCGACTCGAAATTTTCTGCCTTTTATGAGCACAGGGCTCGACAACGGCAGGCGCCGGACCCGAAGGCACAGTGTTGAACCAGCACCAGTACACACTCGCTTCCGAAGCCGCCTTTTTTGCGTGGCTTGGAAGATGCCTTCGTTGGGCGAGTGGTTACGGCTTTTCGAGAGCGTGACCTAGCTCTAAAGACGTAGGATTTGTGTTTGTCGGAACGATCTCGGAAGCTGAGACGTGCATGAGTACGACCGTCTGTATATTCTTGAGCCTGGGATTGACTAGCGCCGATGTCCACGATCGAACGTGACGTTGAGGCAACTATGTAGTTGCTGATATTTTGTCTGCTATGAGGGCCACCTGATTGAGTGGTGTGTCCTCGATCAGTGCCGTGGCTGTTGGTTGGATATGTGTTGGTAGAGATTCGAGCCACAGTTGCTTAACACTTTTAAAATCCGCTGCCGTAGGTCCCGCGAGAGATTGCAGGCGCGTGAGGTGGTGGCTCGTCTTAACATCACTCAGGGGGGTGACGTGCTAATAACGTCCTCAATCGTCCCTCCCTCGATGAGGATGGCCTCCTTGAGACGATCGTAAACGTTTGGCACGTTGGAGTCGAGGACTACCTCACGGACAGCTACTATATTATCCCCGGGTAAAGATTCTAGAGCGTAGGAGTATTTGTGCCTCTGGCTCGTAATGCGGCGGGTCTTGAATTGAGACTTCAGTTCGGCAAACAAAACTTCCGGGTCGTAGGGAATAAAAGATACAGGTCGAAAATGTATAACATGTACGTCTGAGTGGATTACATTAATCCTAATTTTATCGTTATCCGTCATGTCGAGTTATTACCAGTATATTATATTTTGAAAAATATTATTATGAAAATATGCGACAGACATGGATAGATAAACGATAGACTAACCGTAATTGGCATCTTTGCAAAGTTTGGTCTCGATTACCAAGTGTTCGTAATTTCAGGTTCACCAATTGTAGTGTGGCGTCAAGTCGAGGTTGACTGTTTCTCCTAAGTTTTGGTGAAGCATGAGCCTTGTTTTTCCCCTGATAATGACCTTTTCTATGTAGTACGTTTTGTTAGCAACTGATTTATCACTTGTTTCAGTAAAAGGCTATTTGAATCACCTTTGAACAGTAAGGTTGTGTAGACAGGCTGTTTTGTGCCAAGGCTGTAGTGGGCCTCACTATACTATCACCTTCCTATCTAATAATTTCAGTAGCTAGTGAATTGTCAAACTCACGTTTAGCGAAAGCTAACTTGTCCGGTGCCAGTCGGCGTAGTCTTGCCAGGACTGGCGTTACTGCCGCTTCTTCTCTCCGACTCGAAATTTTCTGCCTTTTATGAGCACAGGGCTCGACAACGGCAGGCGCCGGACCCGAAGGCACAGTGTTGAACCAGCACCAGTACACACTCGCTTCCGAAGCCGCCTTTTTTGCGTGGCTTGGAAGATGCCTTCGTTGGGCGAGTGGTTACGGCTTTTCGAGAGCGTGACCTAGCTCTAAAGACGTAGGATTTGTGTTTGTCGGAACGATCTCGGAAGCTGAGACGTGCATGAGTACGACCGTCTGTATATTCTTGAGCCTGGGATTGACTAGCGCCGATGTCCACGATCGAACGTGACGTTGAGGCAACTATGTAGTTGCTGATATTTTGTCTGCTATGAGGGCCACCTGATTGAGTGGTGTGTCCTCGATCAGTGCCGTGGCTGTTGGTTGGATATGTGTTGGTAGAGATTCGAGCCACAGTTGCTTAACACTTTTAAAATCCGCTGCCGTAGGTCCCGCGAGAGATTGCAGGCGCGTGAGGTGGTGGCTCGTCTTAACATCACTCAGGGGGGTGACGTGCTAATAACGTCCTCAATCGTCCCTCCCTCGATGAGGATGGCCTCCTTGAGACGATCGTAAACGTTTGGCACGTTGGAGTCGAGGACTACCTCACGGACAGCTACTATATTATCCCCGGGTAAAGATTCCAGAGCGTAGGAGTATTTGTGCCTCTGGCTCGTAATGCGGCGGGTCTTGAATTGAGACTTCAGTTCGGCAAACAAAACTTCCGAGTCGTAGGGAATAAAAGATACAGGTCGAAAATGTATAACATGTACGTCTGAGTGGATTACATTAATCCTAATTTTATCGTTATCCGTCATGTCGAGTTATTACCAGTATATTATATTTTGAAAAATATTATTATGAAAATATGCGACAGACATGGATAGATAAACGATAGACTAACCGTAATTGGCATCTTTGCAAAGTTTGGTCTCGATTACCAAGTGTTCGTAATTTCAGGTTCACCAATTGTAGTGTGGCGTCAAGTCGAGGTTGACTGTTTCTCCTAAGTTTTGGTGAAGCATGAGCCTTGTTTTTCCCCTGATAATGACCTTTTCTATGTAGTACGTTTTGTTAGCAACTGATTTATCACTTGTTTCAGTAAAAGGCTATTTGAATCACCTTTGAACAGTAAGGTTGTGTAGACAGGCTGTTTTGTGCCAAAGCTGTAGTGGGCCGCACTATACCATCGCCTTCCTATCTGTTTATGAATTTTAACGGATAACCACTTTCCATTTGTGTTTTGTTCAACAACCTAACGTCGTCATCAGTATCATCGTCTGTGCAAATAAGATTAATCCTGTTAGATAGGCCCACTATCATAACCCTTTTGCATTGCACTGGGCAGTATCTATAAGAAATATGATATTGGCCTGTCCAAGTTGGCTTTCTAACAATGGATCGTTCGACGGAACTGTCTTCTCTTCTACTTATAAGTATATCTAAGGAAGGAAGTTGGTCACTCTTCTCCTCTTTCCATAACAGATTGATGCAGTTTTGATAAACGTCAAGTTTATTCAACAAACATGTTATGTGGTCCTTTCATTCACAGATAACTATAATATCATCCACGTATCTCTTATAAAGTGACATGCGTTCGACCAGGTATTCAGCTACATTCACGGTATTTGCCATGAACACATCTGCTGATAAACAATCTAGACAATCGAGTGAAATGGGATAGATGGAGTGTGGCTAACAGTGGAATTTAGGCTGAGCGTGGACTTAATGTAGTTTCATTTCACCTTTCGCAGATTGCCTCCACCCAACCGACGAGTCCGAACTAGAACAAAACGCGTGTCCTAGATTCCACTACTAGCCACATTCCATCTATACTACATTAGTTCGTGTCATAATGTTTATATCGAGACAATCCTCATACGATGTCTATGTGTCAACCAAGACTGGTCAAATTACAGTCAAATATACCAACAACGGGATAATACAAACTAATGCAAACTGCATTGTTCAGTGAATTGATATGTACATTTTCCTATAATTATGAGGTCACAACAGCGAGGCATGGCGCGCACTTGTCTACTAACAACACGTACCTCTCAACAGTTCGAAATATCACAAAAACTAACGTCCGTTCATTAAACAATACAAAGCGCACATGGAAAACACTGTTTAGAATGAATAGGTTTTATTCATCTCGAATTCAAACACGACTATATTACAGTGAGTTGAATTGAGAGGTGTGTGGAAAAAATGGATAGTGGACAGTGTGACACAAACAAGTTAGAATCATCCACAATTCAACTGGTGCCTCAGTAAGTGCTTGCATAAGTGTTTGGTTTGTAAGCATTGGGTTTGTAAGTATTGGGTTTGTAAGCATTGGGTTTGTAAGCATTGGGTTTGTAAGTATTGGGTTTGCCACCTTTGCCACCTTTGCTACCACCCTTGCCACCGCCATGACTCTTTCCATGGCCATTGTCTTTACCACCACCCTTTCCATGGCCGTTGCCACCGTAGCCTTGATCACCACCATAGGGAGCAGGGAAAGCTTCATCGAAGCCATATCCACAGCCTCCACCATTGCAACCACCACCATAGCCGCCACCGCCGCCACCACCACCACCACCACCGTAACCACCACAATCGTCACCATTGCAACCACCACCATAGCCGCCGCCACCCTCATAGCCACCACCACCGCCACCACCACCATATCCGCCACCCTCATAGCCACCACCACCACCACCACCACCATTTCCGCCACCCTCATAGCCACCACCACCGCCACCACCACCACCATATCCGCCACCACCATACCCACCATCTCCATAACCGCCACCACAATCACTGCCGTAGCAATCACCACCGTAATCATTCGGACTTTCATGTGGTATTTGGTAGGCGGTGGCGTAACCAATGGCTACTAAGAAGACGAGTGTGAGCGACGATCTCATTTTTCCAACTGTCTGTGTTGTTGTATTCGGTGTGATGATATGTAAACTAGTGTGATTTGTCATTTATATATTGTTTTTGATTATGGATTGGAAGAGTTGCGCCTCTCTAAGTGCATCATTATTCAATACATATTACGCTTGTGCACTCTACTGTTGAACTGTCTTTTGTGTAATCGTTAATGATAGTTGAGCGTGATAATTAAAAATATCGATGAAACAGTTAGTTCACAAATTACTCACTATTTTAATTTCACCGTTGGAATTCGTTAGCATGTGTTTTATCGGAACCGTTGATTAAGTCTTCACTGAATGAGACCAAACTCTTTTTGATGACACTGAAAAGTGATGTATTTCTGGACACACAAATTTTAAATAAACAAGTTAAAGAAAATTTTATTTAAACTTAACCTGTTGACCTCATGGACGACGTTGTAACGACCTTAAATAAGGGATTTCTGGCAGTCAACAGACCATTCTTCATAGTGTCATATTTCATACATGACAATATCAATTAATACAGTAAACCAGATACTAGTAATAAAAATACTTCGTTTGTTCAAGCTATATTCTCTCAGGAAAGTGTCATATGTCAGTAATTTAGGGACAACAAGGTACAATCATCATTGGATGACCATAAGACAAGCCAGTTTCTCTCTCAGATTTAAACTCATTATTAGTATTTGCTTAACATAGTGTATCCTCATTGTTGAGACACGCAGAGTTTAGTTCGATAGTATGAGTACCACCTGAATACTTTCAACGTTCATCTTACTCGAAACCGCAAAAGTGAATTGAACACTTTTAACCAACCCCATTTTCTCCCACTCATAATTTGTTTTTACATTAATGAGATGACGTTGTTCAGTGGTGGATTCCCGTGTTCCAGTGTTATGCAGAACTGTCTCGATTCTCATAATTGATTCATTGTGTTAGTAGCTTAAACCTGAATAGATACACACTCACGTATTGTTGAGTGTGAATTGTGGAAGTGTTTGCAGATCAAGTTGGAATTGTCTGTAATGGCTTGTGAACAGAAGAATCTCATACGACAAGTCAAAGAGCATATGAATTCCCCATATCAATCACTCATTACCTTTTCAATGAACATGAGCAATATACGAAATCTTCCACTTGAGTTAGTCAGAGCAAATATGAAACGTTTGAATATCGATTGTGACAATGTTGCTCTCATAATGCTCAATCGTGCTTCCATTTCTATTCGTGTGTGAGATGAGCTGTTTTGGTAAGTTGATTTGAAGTCATATATAAGCTGTTCGATGGCAGGCAGATAGTATACATTTTTACACACATTTGAACGAAGTTGACGAATATTTCTCATGATGAAACTTCAGTCTTTCTTCCTCTATCTATAAAATTTCCACTCACTTATCATTAATTTTAATTGTATGCAGACTATTAACTTCACTAATGTGTATTTTAAGAGTTTTTCTTATATGAGCTAGCATATGAATCTAGGATAGATGTTTCCGTTTAATTGGGACTCTTCAGTTGTATCCACTTGAATTGATTTTTAAAAACGGAGTGTTGGTCAGTGTATCCTGAACATATTGCCTCAATATTATCACTTATTTAAAAGTTTTTATAAAAGTTGGGTAGTGACTGGTAGTGGAACTATGTCCTTAGGTTTCGTGTTAATCATTTTTTGTTCTTAACTTTCATAAAAGGAATGAACAAATCTTGACAAGCACATTTGAGCTGTCATGTATATATATCAACTTCACTAGATAAATTGAAATTGTCGCTTCTAAAATGTACGATAAATTATTGACGTTATATTGATGGGTTTACAATGGCATCTAACCAGAAAAACATTATTTCTTATCAACCACCGACAGTTGATTGGATATGATCTTTATAGTACGATATTCTATATTTTATAATACATTTTTTCTGATATACACTTTCCATAAAACGCTGTTGGATGACTGTCAATTTACTCATTATTTATTATGAATATGAAGTCTCTAATATTTATGATGATTAACTATACCCTACTTTACAAGACTAGTTTCCAATAGATGGTGTTGTATCAATCTTAATTATATTTAATATCACATCTTGTATATTCTTCCTTTGATTATTAATTATCAGTTTCAATTTGATTGTGAAGTATTGAAAGTGAGTGTGATTAGTCACTGAGTGTGGACAAAAAGTCATTCAGCTTACTGACAAATAAATATGTAATTTCTTTTCTTATTATTAATTTTTTACTCTGGAATCATTGAAAGCGACTGCTTAAAATTGTGTGCAGTAAAGTAATGTCTAACATTGCTCTAGTTCCCTATCTTTGTGATGAATTAAGTATCTGATATAAAGTGACCTGGTCTGTTTTTATATAGTGGATCGTTTGGGTATCCAATCTAGCGGTATCATAAACCCAGTTACCCAGATCAGTCTTATTACTGTATTAGTGTAGAATACCGCAAAAAGAATGAGATTTTATCCTCATAGTTTCCTGTATTGTTTTAATTCATCCCTTATAATAATAATTTATATTCTGAAAAATAATAATTACAGAATTCACACCAGTTTACAGGCATGATCAATTTGATATAAACAGTAACATTAGATGTACAGAATAAACATGTGATAAAAGAAAGTTTTAAGTATGCTAGTTCAGTAATTGTTTAGGTAGTACATGTATTACAGTGATCCAATGCATCAGCCGGGAATTTTTAATATTTCTTAAATGGACAGCCTGTTGATTTATGAACGGTGTAATTAAGATCATTTCGTGTTCCAGATCGAATTAATGATAATTATCTACAACTAGAGAAAATAAAACGAAGACAGAGAACACGGAACAACAAAGCAGTAATTACCAAAATATGTCAATCAGTTCTACCTAAATGCATGTGTCATGTGACACAGTGATATACTGTTGATGTTATTCAAAATTAAACTTGCTGGGGACAGTTTTAACATAAAGTGACAGTCAGTAAGTGGTTTTACTTAGGGAATACACTAATAAAAATGGCTAAACATTTAAGGTTCCTAAAATATCACTTGTGGAATGAGATACATTAAAAGGTGCTAGAACATTCAATGCATCTCAGAGGAGCAGTATGTATCGATGCAGCGAACAAATAATGGGAGTGATTTTATCGTACGGATAGATTGTGGTAGGTTTGTTTCACTAGTGCCAAGGAATTACGGATGCTATAATGAGTTTCTGCATATTAAATCACGTGATTGGATGTAAACGATAGTTTATGAAGTAGTTTGAAGAAAAAGATAAGATTTAGTTTGAGTCTCCTCCTCCATAAAGGGTCTAGACCAAGTTTATTACATCTAGAATTATAAGTTAAGGTACAATCAGCTCCAAGAATACGAAGCGTAAATCGTCTCTGTACTGATTTATCCTTTATGCGCGCACTTCTAAGAATAAACGTGCAATATTCTAGAAGAGGTCGAGTATAAACTTTGTACATTAGAATGCGTGACTCATTATTGTAAAGGTTTCGAATTATTTGACCTATTAGACGTTGAGACTCAACTGAAATGCACTAACTAAATAATGTCGAATATTTATCCATTATAGTATTACTTTTTTGTAATTTTATATTATTTATAATTGATGAGAAGCCTGTAAAATAGAATGATGAATCCATTTTACTCTAAACAATTTACTGCTATTGTTCTGGTACATTTTTTTTCGATAAATTACATGACAATTGTGTACTTAAATTAATCGATCAATTAATTAGATGATCGATATTTGTCTCTTTTCCTCTAGTTATATATTAGCATTAATGAATGAAGTGCTACTATTGATTTTTGGTTTAATTCAATAAACATAAGTAAAGGCTTAAATGAATATTTGTAGTTTGTATTCGTCAGAGACTGATTTCAGTTGAGGTACAATTGAAGGCAAGATAGAAAATGTTTTGTTATAGATTGAGTTTTTTTTAGCTATGCGACTCCAAAAAAGATCGAACCTAGGATTTCCAGGTTACAAGAGGAACTTTTAACCAATCGGACTATCAGTGATACAGTGGTATATTCAATGGTACTATTTCAATCTCAACCAATCTGTGAAATAATACGATGATCATTCATTGTCGTTGTTGACAAATGTTTAGCTCTCAACATGTTCGAATTTCACTACTCATAACTTCTTAAAGTAAGTCACTACTCAGCCGACTGTTATAGTTTCTTTGAAAGCGTTTTGTAGAGTTTGATTGAATTTGTAGGTTATCTTAATCAAAGATCGAGCGCAGTTAAAATAAAGTTTCCGAAAAATTCAGCCTGCATTAGTAGAAGTTTCAATGAATGGAAAACGTTGGTACTTTATATAGGAAAACTCATGAAATCCATAAGAGAGAAAGATTACTTTTACTGTAAATAAAAATCCCCACTATTATTGGAAAACAAAGATATGTTGTATATCGAGATCTGACTCAGCAGTGCACATTAACGATCCCAGTGGAGAGACTCGAACATAAAACTTGTGAACACTTAAAATCAAGACCACTAAGCCGGTAAACATCCAACAGTGTTAATGTCTAACTTCAACTAATCCACGATATTGCGAAACCATCTTCCAGGTTTCGCAATAGTTAGGGGTTGAGTTAATGTAGGACATTAAGGAAGATTTTATTTGTACAGTTCAATCGCTGAGATTTCTACAAATATAATCTTCTTTAGAAATGATAATGTTAAAAGTTACGAATGCTTAATCTTTTCTCTGGACATTGTGCGTAACAGGCAAATGAACGCTATCCCTAAATTGTAATCCTGAAGCAAATTTTACAATAGCGGCAATATATTTCATGGAAAAAATACTAAGACAACGCCGATTGCATTTTTAGGTGAAACTCAATCACCCTTATAGCTAAAAACTATCTCACAATAGAGCTCATGTTAATCAGGGGAGTCCACGACGCTCGTTTCGTCGTACTTGAGACTCGTCAGCTAGATGTGCTTACATCCGAGTTTATGTTGAGTCCGAAATTCGAACCTGGTACGTTTCGTTCTAAATGTCATCATGTTATCCACTTAGCTACTGAGTCCAGATAGCCACTTTAAACCCTTCATCCTAG